ATAATAAATAAAAAATACAAAAATTAGCCCGGGGTGGCGGCGAGCACCTGTAATCCCAACTACTTGGGAGGCTGAGGCAGGAGAATCGCTTGAACCTGGGAGGCACAGGTGAGGAGGTTGCCACCCACCACTGCATTCCAGCTGGGGCAACAGGGCAAGACTCTGTCTCAAAAAAAAAAAAAAAAAAAAAAAAAAAAAAAAAAATTGAGGCAGGGCATATTACTAAGGGGAAGGAGAAGGCTATAGAAGAAAATAAAATCAGTTAAGAGGACATGCTCAAGAACAAGACAAAAGGGGCTCCATTTTTACATTTTGACTTGGCAAACAGAGCAGCAGGGAGTCCAGCACTCTCAGGAGATGAGAAGCAAAAAAGCAGATGAAAATGCAGTCTGAGAGTCTGCCCAGAAAACATTCTCTAAAAGCTAAGACGGAAATAATGTATGTAGAATGCTCTGCGGGACGGCACGACAGCCACTGTCTTCTAAGGGTCATGGAGGCTGCTCTGCCCTCAAAACTCAAACTCCCGCTTGGATGAAACTCTTGAAAACATATAGAAGTAAACAATTCTGAATGGGGGGAGACAGCTCAGCAACATAACTGGGCTTTTCAGTCTCTGATTTACAAGACTGTTTTTCCGACTAGTAAAGGCCTCTTTGGTTGCAGCTGCAGCTCAAGTAGGATGTGTTACCAGAAGCAGCAAATGGCAAGAAAAGAGATGACATTTCCTGCCTGCAGTTAAGCAAAGAAAGCAAAGGAGAATTTAGGACAGTTCACAGTAGAGTCCCTTTCATTTAGTGTGGCTTCCTTTCCGTTTTAAATGCATAGCAATTCTGCTTGATTAAATAACATATTTTTGTCTTAGCTACTGTCCTCTAAGGGCGATTACAGTACGTCTGAGGACCATGGCTCTATTCAAATTCAGCACCAGGCAAGAGTGAGAGATGCTACCGGCCAGAAAAGACTTTGCCTGGCTATTTCTCAATTCACTGATTAACAGGGCCCTTACTTCAACTGCATTCACTTGCCAAAGTCTGAACTGCATTCCATCACATTATGGTGGGAAAAGAAGGTCCAAAAATCACAGAATGAGACGAAGAGCAATGGCAAAGGATGTCAGAAACCAGCATCTGCTTCGGGCCAAGCCACACCTTTTTTGGGCAGAAGAAACTCAGAGGATCTATTATTTGTTTTGTGTGGTTTTTCCTTAGCCAGAGAATAATTTAGGATCAAACCTCACATAGAGGATGAGGCTGCAGTCTTTTTCGAGAAGCTTTCAATCACAGTGCGTCGGAGGTTCCTTAAATCCTGCTACAATTCAGCTGGAAGCAGTTACACAGTCCTCCCCACTTTTCCCTCCCTCTCCCCCGAGAGGAAGAGGCACTTCCAAGGCCTTACCCTTTTTGTCTTGGTGATTATGGGAAGACACTGCCCCCAAAGGGTCTGTGCTGTCAGGTGAGTCAAGCAGATGCTTCCAGTCCAGCATTCCTTCCCTAGACTCATACCCTTCTTGAGCCGTCGAATCTGATGTGGTTGTGCTGGGCAAGAGGGAACTGGAGTGCCCTGTTTTCATCACAAATACAGTTAGGAAAACATTATCCGAGAGACCCACGTTCCCTTTGCTCAGAGGCCCAGGTGGGACACCCAAGCTGGCTGTAGGACTGAGAGGAGGTCGCCCTAGAAATGACACGGCTTAGTGGTGGTGGTGGTGGTGGGGGGGGGGGTGGCGTGTTCAGCAGAAACCCCCCTGAACTTGTAGTTAGAAAACGAAGGGCCAGATCCTATTTCTCATCCTATCTATCCTATCCCACACTTCCTGGGTGGGCCTCGGGAAATCACTTAACCTCTTCCTGTGCACCCAGTGGGTTTATGACACCTCTCAGTGTTGGGAGAATAGTGACATAATGGTGAAAGCATCTTGCACAGTGTCTGACACATAGTAGGTGCTCAAGAAATGCCAGTGTCCTTCTTTGATAGTCCCATGGCAGCATGAAACACAGAAAGTGTCCACTCCAGGAATCACGTCTGTGAAGGTTTCTGGTAGTGAGTAAGTCTTGTCCCCATCACAAGTGACTCAGTTACTCTGAGCTCTTCCCATGGAGGTTCTACAGTGTGTCTACTCTTCAGGTTCAACTCAACTTCACTTTTTGGGAGTAACTGCTTTCCAAAGGGATCTATTCCCACTGTCTTTGCATTGGAATGAAGGCTTCAACTGTTATGTACTATTATGGCTGTGCCTTTTGGTGTCTTATTTCAATAAAAATAGCCTTATTTTTGAGGCTGCATTGACTAAGGTGATTCAAATTAGAAAAAAATAGATTTCGGAGGTTCAGATAAGCTACCACATGATAACACCAGAAAAATGGCTAGGTTGAGAGTTACAGCGGAATCGAGCCATTTCCTGTGAATTCGTTCATAAGCTCTCCCTCCATCATTCCATAAGGTTAAATACAGATTGTATCAGGTGCTTTGATCGAAGCTGACACAATGATTTAAAGAAGCCCTACTACCTGTTCTTTCTGGTAGAAATAAAATATGACCTCCCTGTGATTTTCAACTAGAGTTTTTGGCTTATTAAACCATCTTACATAGAGCAACCTCTTGAACAATTTTTAAAAAGACATGAGGGCAACTACTGTGCATGTGTAATTGGTGCCTTTGGTGGAAAGTAGGGCAGACTCACATAACTCCAAAGGCTTCGGCCTTGAAGTGCGATCACCATGCACATGATAAATAAAATACCGGCCTCCAGAAGACAGGTTATAAGAGTAAGGACAGCGTATTGTTCTTCTTTTTTACGATTATTATTGGAAGTTGGATTCCCCCCTAAGAGACTGTAATATTACAAATTACAGACAAAACATATATAACAAAGACAGCTTTTTATCTTCTTAAAACTCTGCTTAGCAGGAAAAAGCAAGCCAAGTGGCTCGGCCATGCTATAGAGACTTCTGTGGAGCCACCACACTTAAATGCTGCCCCAAAGCTCTGGTAACACTGAAGAGGTCCCTTTCTGTATGGTGCTTGTTTGGCTTTCACACAGCATCAAACATCCAATTTGTTTCGTGTCCAGCTGCTGAAAGCATGTTAATTTACAATTCAAGGAATGCTTTATTCTAGACTTTTTGTTTTTACATTTCTGAGTTTCACATCTCATGTCATGATACAGATAAGAGAACAGGGGCAGGAAAAGCAGCCTGAGAAATGGAAATAGACAAGTTCCTTTATTTCCTTTCTGCTTACATTGAAGTCTAAAACACAACTTTTTTTTTCCATTCCTGAATTCAAGACTACTCTAATAAAATACATGGTCAGCCTACGAGAAAATTCGGTGCCCAACATAAGCAAACAATTAGAAATAGCTTTGTAGGGTATTAGAAAGAGAAAGTGGGGAAGAATAAAAAATACCTCCCTTCCAAGTAGCAAGATTTCTTTTACCTGAATTGATATGCATTTTGAGCACTTTCAATTTAACTGTGTTCAAGGGGCAATTTTACGATAATGCCATAAGTATGGTTTAGGGAGAACATTTCTTAATACGGTAATCTAGGGGAAATATATGCCTAAGGGACACATTCTCTGTAGAAAGATATCCTGGACCATATGCTGCAAATACATGGAAAACTCATTGGTAATGGAAAGCTATGGCTATGAGAGGAAATTAATGTGGACCAGATGGTAGTTAGGTAGGAAGATGTTTTACGCAAATGTGAGAAATCAGCCTCTTCTTCCTATCACTGAAGTGTTAGTCTAATACCTACCATATCTCTATTTTCTATATGTAAATCTAGAGAAACCATGCATCTGATTTGCTCAAAAGAAAAAAACTGAGCAGCATGAGGTTTGTAATCTTTTAAACTTACGCTTGAGGATAGGAAACACGTGCCAGTGGTGAATTAAACAGTCAGAGAAAGCAATACCTGATTCTCAAAAATTTTAAAACTGCCATGTAAAAGCACCATTAAGCAGCAGTCCTCGATTTGAACAAAGATGTGTTATTACCTCTCCAAGCTTAAAAAAAATTACAAGGAAACCACTTATATTCCTTCTTCTCATCTGATTTTGAAGGTTATATTATTTTTGTACATTCCCTAAGAGACTCTGCAACCAAAATAATGCTACAAAATAGGCAAACATTTGTGCATGTGGTATCACATGTCAATAGATTTAGAATTTATAATTTTGTCTTGTCAGTCCTATAAGAGCAGTCACATTTTAATTCAATAGAGCTTATACTGTATCATTCTCAAAATATACAAATAAATAGGTACATTTTGAAAGTTAACTTTAATGCATCATATTGTTTCTCTATATCTACAAGTCATTGTGATTCCAGAGGTTAGAGATCCTTCATACTACTCGAACCTATTAACAATGTTTGTAGACAATTAGATGCAAAACAGAGACACTAAATCAGTACAAGAGAGGAAGAGAGAAGGAAAATAATTAGGGCCCAATTCACTAAAAGAGGTTCTTGCATATGTAACTTGTGTGGCACAGAGCTTCTGACAAGCAGAAGGCCTGTATCATTTATTGAAGTGATCCCTTTTCCTGAGTTGGGCAGTTCTGGTTTTGTAGTTGGATCTACGGGCCTACACTCAGCCACCGACTGCAGGACACACACAAGCCACAGCTAGAAACCGTGAGGGCACTTTGTACTTTGGAGCTGGTTTCCTTGTCTATATCCATGCTCGTAACAAGAGCAGTTTGGTGCTTCTTTCGATGCTACAAATGCAGTGCCCAGTACAGTGTCTAGGACACAGTAGTCACTCAACAAATATTTGCTGAATGGATTAGTGAAAGCTGTTCTGGGTTTATTAACTCCAAAATTAGCATCCCTTGCAATGGTTTATTTGAAAAAGTTGCCTATATTTTGGTAAGGACTATCTGAACCAGCCCTTGTTTTGATGGTCAATTAATAATCTAACTGCTTCACACTGAATAGATTTAACTTGAAATAGACAGGATTATTAGCTGAAAGGAAAATTCCAACTCTTCTTTAGTTTCCTCAAGACCTGAAAATGAGTGAGCATCATCCTTTAAAGTGTTAATATGGAGGAGTTAATAAGTACCTTTCCTTCTGTAAAGGAAATAAGAGAGGACATAGCTTAGGGAGTGATTTTTATAACCCATAGCTTAATTATTCTATCTATTTGAGAAACTACCTGGGAGTCAAAATTGGTCTTAGTATGACTGATGAATGCTGGGCAGGTTGCTGGTTCAATTCATTTCAAGATCTTAATTTCTCAGTATCTGATAAAGACTATTCAATTATAGATAATGATTGCAAAGTATCATATTGGAAAAGAGCAGATGCTAAGCGTGGTTTTTCTTTGAAGGCAGTCTAAACTAGATGACATTTGCCTTCTGAGCAATTTTTCTTCTAGTCTTTAGTGTTCAATATTCTGGCTTAAATCATACACGAGGGAACATTGGTGGATGAATTCTGTGGACTCATGTACTCTACACTGCCTTACTTCACAGGGGGCCAGTCAGGAGAAACCAGGCACTGTTTTCCATGCCTACACAGCTCCAATGTGTAAGCCAGTCTTTAAGACATTCGGAAAAGCTTTTCATGTATGCTAATTTGACACAGGAGTGAGAGTTTACAAAGAGCTCTTAAACACATTTGTAGCCATCATGAACTATTTCTTTGGATCATAAATCTGCATTGCTTTCTTTTCCTTCCTCTTTTCTTTTCTTTTTCCTTTTTGAAAATTTATTTTTCTCCCTCCCTTATTACCTATTTCTATACTTAAAGACTGTCCTGGATCTGTGGCTTGATTATAGATCTTAAGCACACAAACTATAAAATGGCTGTGTATACATGAAACTCAGAGCTCCCATTATAATGCAGAGGCTTAAATTTGCCATCACATAGACGTTTTTCACACAATATTTTAAAAAGCACATGGATAGGTTACCCTAATAAATATTTGGGAGTACCTTGAGAAATGTAAATAGAACAGCTACATTTCACCTTCTCATATAAAGAATTCAGAATACTCTGTTTATGAACTTAGTAGCTTTGTTTAATATACTGATTGTGTGTTTGAGACCAAGAACACCGAGATAAATCCTGTTTGCACATCATTTCCACTGCGTCACTCTTCCTTGTCTACCTTCTGAAGAAATCATACTGAGAATATATCTAAATATTCATACTCTTTTTGAACTTAAATTTCAGTGGCTGATTTCATACTATATTGGAAAGTTTTCTCTAACAAGAACCTGACCTGTGTATCCTGTATGGATTTTCTCTAGTGGAGGGTATTGTCCTGAGTGCCAGCATTTTGGGGGATGGTGCACTAGATCAGCTAAAAAGCTATAGTCTATTAGTTATCAGCACTATTCCTTTGTCTTGGATATACTTATGTTCGAAAGCAATTTCTTTTCCCTCAAGAACTCATTAAATGTATTCACCAAACTCCCTAAGGTTGGCATATTTCATGTTATCTGGATTAAAAATTTAGGACTCAGTCTCCCATATCAATTGTCTCACATAGGCAGAGTGATTTTTGAAGGATGGTGAAATTAATAAATAATTTTAGTGAATTGGGGCCCTAAAGTAACAATCTGGTTCATGATGTTTAGGAATGAAAACTATAAGCTACTGCCAGATGAATGACTTAAAGAATTAAAAAAAAAAAAACCATAAACTGACCATACACTGTGTTGTAAGACATTTCATGATCTGGTAGAGGAGTTGAAATGTCTATAAAAAAATAATGAGGATAAAAAATTAATTTAAAAGAAACTTAAGATTTGAACATACTCAAAGGATTAGTGAAATAGAAATTCTCAGAAAGGTTTTCACCAGTATTAAATTATGGGAGTAATATCTTCCTTACCATTCAGTGCCACAAAGGAATCTGAAAGACAAAAGGGAGGAGAAGGTTACTTAATGTTTTACACTCTGCTTAGTGTGACTTACATAAGTGGGAATGAGCTAATACAGTACTATGCCAATGTATGATCCCTGTTCCTAAGTGCTTTTTCATTCCTGCATGTAATGTAAGATGCTTTATACTCAGTCTGATTTCACACCTCCATATCTCTTCCACCAAGTGAATTTCCTCCAAGTCACTGCCTTTGCCAAGAGGCAGAGAAAATGCAAGAGGTGGCAGACGAAATGGTAACTGCAAATAGGTGATTCTGAGAGTTTAAGCCCTACTTTATACAGAGGGACATGCATATGCATAAGTGACACCTGGACCACACTTACAAAAAAAACCCTTTTTCTTTACATTCTCTTTCTAATTCATCCTCGCAATGATGCTGTGAGGAACTGTCCAGTGTTATAGTATTCTGAAGTCATCAGGGGTTTTAGTTTGGAAATTAAAACAAAAAACAAACCTTTACACATATTAGGCAACATATCTAGGTGTGTGCTATGTGTTGGGGTCGGATATCTGGTTCACTCAGCCTCTAACACTGGCTCTTTGCATTTTCCTCATTTCCCTTTAAAATCCTGTTAATTTTGTACCAGTTATAATGATTGCACCAGTTGTAGAAATCCTCCCTGAATACCTATGTGGGAACAGGTCTGTCTAATAGAGGTAGTTCATGTTCCAGCAGGAACACGGGGAAAGGAGAAGCCACGAGGAAAGGCAGGCAGGCAGAGGAGCAGCTTTACCTCCAGCCCGGAGTAAGCAAGGACCCTCTGTGCCTCAGCAGGAGTGAGGTTAAAGGTCAAGGGCACACTGCAAAGCATGAAGGCAGATCCAGGGGCTTGACCGCTAAGATTGCTCTGGAAATAAAGAGTAAATCACGAGGTTGGGAACTGAGAGCCTCCCCTATGCTACATACAGAGGCTTCCTTATGTTCTTCTTCCTGAGAACACAGATAAGGGTGTGAGCCTACTGGTACAGTGGACATTCTACAGACACAGTAACAACCATCTTTACCTGTTTCACGTATTTTCTGATTTGATCCAAATCTACACCCCTATTTTTCTACAGATGCCACTATCACAAGTAATATAAATGTGATGAAAATGGCTCATTAACGTCAGCTAAACTGTTAATAAAGCACGTGTGCGTGCACATGTGCACACACACACACACACACACACACGTCTTAAAACCCGTTTCCTTGCAAATAAAACTATAATGCATCAAGATGATTAGGGTCCACTGATGGAACATCAAACTATTTCCCTGACAGAGATGAACGCATACACATAACATGTATCTTTTGTTGATGACACTTCTCCTATGTTTATTTATTTACTCATGCATTTTTTGTGTAAAGAATTTTTGCCTGTATATTATATTTGTAAATGAAAAAAATATATATGGCAAAGATTTGGAGATAAGGCTGACTTTAGCCTTCTTTATTTGATTATAACTAATCTCCAAAAAAGATAAGGTAGAAAGTTGAATGACACTTTATAGTCTGAAATTTCAGTACTCACGACTGAGATTCAGAGTTATATCCATGATTTTCATTAAGGAATCAAGTTATCAGAAGTAATATAGCTTCATTCCCTTAAGAGATATTATTTGGTGCCATTTTGAATGCAAGCTTCTTGAAATTCAGCATATGTAATATTTGAAACAGCACAAACTAGACATATTTTCCAAGAGTTTGGTATTGTTCTTTAAATTAGCAAAAAAAGCATTTTCAGAAGAATATTGATATTAATCAGGTCACAGGACAACTGGGCAGAAATTTGAGCAAGATCTTTTATATAAAGTTCTAACTAAAATGCTACCATTTAATAATGAACTCTGAAATTTGCATAGTAGGCCAATTCCTATAAAAAGGTTATTTTGGCCAGGTGCGGTTGCTCACACCTGTAATCCTAACACTTTGGGAGACCAAAGCAGGGGGATCACCTGAAGTCAGGAGTGTAAGACCAGCCTAGACAACACGGTGAAACCCCCGTCTCTACTAAAATACAAAAATTAGCTGGGTGTGGTGGTAGGTACCTGTAGTCCTAGCTACCTGGGAGGCTGAGGCACAAGAATCACCTGAACCCGGGAGTTGGAGGTTGCAGTGAGTGCAGACTGCGCCACTTCCAGCCTGGGCAACACAGTGAGTGAGACTTTGTCTCAAAAAAAAAAAAAAAAAAAAAACCAAAAAAAACCCACCAAGTTATTTTGATTTGCCTTGTACTTGCGGGTTATTTCTGAATTTTTTTTCCTATCACATAGGGTAATAGACACAAATCTAATTTAAAAACATAATTACTTTCATTAGTCAATATGTTCAAGAATAAAACAGGCTCACTCAATTAAAAAGCTAGAGTACAATGATCAATCTTTTTGATATTTGGCTAAAATTGACAGTATAAAAGCCCATTTTAAAAAACAGCAAAACTGTCATTTTGTAATGGAAATGCTGATTTAACTTACTGCTTTGCTGTAATTAATATCCTCTAGAGTGAATGTGTTCCTCTGCATTAGAATTAATGAAATAGGTGCCAGCATTTATAGTGACAACACTGACAACTGGCTTTAGAACGCACTGCTTTCTTTATTTGATATTTACAAGATGATTTCTGTCATTTACGAATGCTTTAGTGTCAGCTGCACTCAGTTCCACATGTGAGCTGATGTATCTAGGCCTTTCACTGAAAGCATCTTTGCCCAAAGATAAAAATGGATAAAAGACTGTACTTACTGTGACAGTCCCCCAGACCATCTGTATTGCCACGCTCTACGTCCTGCTCAAAAGTCAGTCTTTTAAAAAAGGAAGGGGAAGAGAGACAGAAATGAATACAATAATAGGAGTCATTATTCCGAAATGAGTCTTAAGTTTCACTAAAGAGAGTTAACACAGTTTGATAAATTGAGTGGCAGGTGCAAAAAAGAAATAGATAATAGCTTGAAAATTTATCTCTGAAGTTTACAGAAATGAGTCTTAGGCGACTCTCCAAAGAGAAGTTGTGGTTTAAGCAGTGAATTCAGATAATATTCAGGGAGATAATTAGTTTGCAGATTATTTATATCCTTCTTTTACTCTAATTCTCTGAGCATTTCTTAAGCATTTAAGAAGTTTAGATGTTAAAATACACTCCTCATATAAACAATATAGAAGTCTATAAATTAAAAAGAAAAGTCTTTTCCTCTCTACTCTCTTTTTCACTCCTACCCTTGCCTTTCTAAACCTTTATCTGTTTCTTTGCCTAGACCTTTATCTATCTAAAAACTTGGATGATAAAGTGTTCAAAGGTCCAAGTGGCAGTGAGGGGACAGGAGCCGGTGGTGCCTTTTTTGGAGACCACTTGGCTATTCGTTTGCTCACAGCCCTGCCCCAGTCCTTGGGAGTATTACTCTCATTCTCTTGTACATGCTTACGTTTCTTCCAAGTCTACTAGGTCACCACTGGGCTGTATAAGCCACATGACGTTAATAAAACCAATTTTAATAAAAGCTATTTTGATTTTTAAAATAAGCATACCAGAGTCATTCTCCTTTGGGGACGCTTTGTACATATTCTCATAATATAATTGAAACTCTTAT